CTCTCCTCTCCTCTCCTCTCCTCTCCTCTCCTCTCCTCTCCTCTCCTTTCCTCTCCTTTCCTTCTCTTTTCCTTTTTTTTTATTGTTTTTCTTGGATATTTTATTTATTTATATTTCAGATGTCATCCCCTTTCCTGATTTCCCCTCCCTAGAAACCCCCTATCCTATTCCCCCTTCTCCTTTTTGTTTTTATACCATTTTAATTACATGCAAGTATTAAGGTCAGTTCGAGGTTGAGGAATTAGCAATACAATAGATGCAAGTGCTTGTTCATAATTAAGGTTGTCATTTCCCCCAACCCACCGCCTCTTTTTGGTCTTCATTTGTCTGACAGATCCACCATAGCTATTAATTTACCTAAGGGCTATTAACACTAGGTAGTTGTGGGTTTTCATTCCCAGAAATCTTATTTCAGTGCATACAACATTAGGGAAGCAAATGTATTTTTATGAAGCAATTCAAATGCTTCTTGGACAAGTGTTGTATTGCCTTGGATTTGATGAACAGCATTGAGCACATGTAAAGTTCTTCCACAACCTAAAGCAGTAATTCACTGAGGGGCTGTGATAATTTTAATTGCCAACATGAAAGCAAAGAGTCATTCCTGAAGGAAACCTCAATAAGTGGCTGTCTAGATTAGGTTGGTTTGTGGGCATGTCTTTGAGAGAATGAACATGAATAGTGAGAAGATGCACTCACTCTGAGTGGCATCACTGTCTCAGTATGGTATCCTGGATTAAGAGGAACCATGAAGCATGTTGAACACAAGCATGTGGACATGCATTCATTGCTTTATGCTCTTAACCATGGATGTGATGTAACTAACCTCAACTTTCTGCCACCTTGTAGCAGCAATAGTGGATTGTAACCTGAGATTGTAAGCTGAAATAATTAACATTCTTCTCCTTCAAAATACTTTTCAATGTATTTTATCTCAGTAATAGGAAACAGAGCTAAGATAACTATGTTTTTAAAAAGTGTGATGACTAAGTGTGGTGACTCTTTAGGTGACACTGGATATTGTTATAAAAATCAGCAGGTGAATGTCATAGGTTAAAAAAGAAAATCAATTCATAATGGCACAGTTTGCATGTTCAGTATTATGCCTACAAGACAAAAGTATAATAGCAATCTTCTCTAACATCTATTTCCTTCCAGAACAGGGTTTCTAAACGTGTGAGTCATGATACTTTTGAGTGTCAAATGATATATTCACAGAACCCACTTATCAGATTTCTTGCATAGAAGATATATACATTATGGTTCATAATGGTTGCAGAATTAGAGTTATGATATAGCAACAAAAATAAATTTATGGTCACCATAATGTTAAGAATTGTTGAGGTTTTTTGTTTTGTTGTTGATGTTTTTATTTTTTTTTTATTTTTGTTTGTTTGTTTTGTTTTTTGCTGTGCATTGTAGTGTATTCCAGGCCCCAAGATCTGGAATCTGTGCAGCATCTAGAAATCTGCTTCCATTGAATTCTGGTTGGTAACTAAAGATGCCAAGAGGCTATATAGTTGGGGAGAAAAGAAATAGCTGGGAGTTTAGGTTTCCAGGATAGAGACCAAGAGGAAGGAGAGAAGAGAAAGAGTGCTCATGCCTTAGAGAATGGAGGAGGAGTAATGAAGGAGAGACAGGAACATGGAATAGAGAAGCATGAAGTGTCTACATGCTTCTGGGTCAAGAGAACATAATCCAGAGAATGACTTGCTTAGAGCAAAGAGCAGTCCAGATGACACATAGTAAGTAATAACTTGGGTTACTGATGGGAGATAGACTCTAGCAACATGGATTGGTAGGCAATTACCCAGTTATTGTGTTGCATAAAGCATATTTAAATATAGGGGTTCTATGTGTTTCATCTGGGATCTTAGATGGTCAAAGATGCGAGGGAACCCCATGCTGATATGTAAATATTTATAGCTCCAAGGTACTATATTAAAGGACTGCAGCATTAAAAGGATTGAGAACTAGCTTCAATTCTACCCATGATTGAGCCTCATTTTATTCAAGCTGGATCCCTATATCAAACTCATTATCAACAACATTCAAGATAACATAGGATTCCATGACTGCAGAAGGAGACAATTTCATGAATTACCTGGGAGAGAAAAATCACTTCTTCAAGAATGTAAAGCAGACATATTCCTTTTATGGTTCCTTGAGAAGAGAAAGAGCTTCACATTATCTCAAAACACTTCCTAGGAAAAGCTCCTTCTGATTGCAAGTGGTAAAATGGTTATATAAGCCCTAAGGGCTCTTAGCTTTGAACTTTTTGTTTAGGCTTTATTATATTATTGTCTCATCACATTAGAGAGCCCGATAGATTATAAAATATTTCTACTTCTCAACATATATTCATATATATATATATATAAAGTCGAGAATAAAATGGGGTAACTTCAGGCTGTGGAAATAGCTATGCTTCCAAAGTGCTTACCTCAAAAGCATGAAGACCTAAGTTCCATTACCATAGGCCAAATCAAGTTGGATGTGATAGTGCACACTAATAATCCCAAAAGTGGGAAAATGGAGGTGTCAAGACTTTTGTGTATCACTGATCAACCAGCATAGGCTCAGCTGGAAGTTCCCAACCAAGTAAGAAATCCTGTATCACATGATGGATCCACTGTATTGTTCAAGAACATTGGAGTTTTCTGTCTAGTTGTTTTCGTACGAACACATAAACGTGGGTGAACATGCTCATAATTACACACACACACACACACACACACACAAAACTCAATTCTCAATATTATTAACCTGGTATTCTGTGGACATCTATATGCTGTATGACTTGGTCCATATGGATACTTACTGTAGGAGCATCCATAGACTTCCACTCTCATGCCAATCTTTCCATCTGGATTCCACTCCAGGGGCACAAAGCGAACAAAGCGGGCTCTCATGGGGTGCAGCAGTTTGTGGTGAACCACACTGTCGGCATTCATGTTTCCTACAAATGTCTGAAAAGAAAAAGGAAACTCAGCTCATTCTACAGTACCAAGGCATATCAACAGAAGTTTGCATGTTTCTTCACTCAGTATTTCAGAGAATGTAAAAATAACAACAAAAGAATGCACAACAAAATAATACAAAGACCCTAGTTTCTCTGATATTAAACTCATGTGGTGACAATCTTGCCTTACAGTTTTTCATAAGCACCAAATAATATTCCTTAGGATATTTTTCTTTCTACTACTATGCCTAGCTAAATTTTATGAATAAATAAAACTTCAGCATATGACACCTCAATATTTATAAGTTAATAATACTAAGAAGTTTAAGAGCTGGGCAGTGGTGACACACACCTTTAATCTCAGCACTTGGGAGGCAGGAGCAGGCAGATTTCTGAGTTTGAGACCAGCCTAGTCTACAGAGTGAGTTCCAGGACAGCCAGGGCTACACAGAGAAACCCTGTCTCAAAAAACAAAACAACAAAACAAAACAAAACAGTTTTGTTTTCAGTTTCCCACTTGTCTAAACTGGCTGTGACTGTCAGGAAACTGACAATTCCCTTCTGGAAAAGTGTTTTACTGAAATAATTGTCAATGTTATTTAAGGCCAGTTATTACACTAAGCACATCATAACCACTAACAACATAACTACCAATCCAAAAATAAAAAAAAATATTGTAGCATAAGAAGGGAAACACATAAGAAAATATATCTATAAATCATCCAGTCCTCTAGTAGTTAGAAATTAGCACAGAGTAAAGTTCCAAGACTGCCCCATGCTTGTTTTTTAGGTTACTACTCTCTAACTATGCAAACATTAGGTTTTACAGGAAGCAATCATTAACAGTCTAGTTAATTTGTATATTTGTAGTTCATTTTTCTGTTCACATATGATTGATATTTATTTGAAAAAAAATCAAGAATGTACTGAGGAGATGATTCAGTGGTTAGGAGGATTTACTGCCTTGCTCATTACCTAGGTCTTGTGTGGTTAGGGATCTTGGAGGAGAACATAAAACTACCACTTTACTAAATCAGCATAATCCCTAACTCCATTCTCAATATTTACCCTCATACACACAGATATGTGAAGTCCTCAGCCCTCACTAAGGAAAAAAAATGCCTTGAAACAGAGAATTCATCATAGAAAACCACAACTGGTGAAAATGTAGAGAATAAGTAACTGTAGGTTGCCCAGTGCCAGATGATAAATACATCCACAACAGGACCCCAACACCTAAGCATCAATGGCCAATATGAAAGAAATGGAGACAAAATTATAAGAGTCAGAGGCACAGAACATTTCCCATGAGTTTGAAACTCCTAAGAATGCCAGAGGGGTTGCAACCACAAAGCCTCATACACATGGATACCTATAAAAGACTCAAACAAGGACAACACCAATAGCCATGTTAACATGGAAGAGGAAATTTCACAAGGCTTCAATCCTCGAAAAGGAACTACAGGCAACTAAAAAATTCTGAGAGCAGGAGAAGTAATCTTCTTCTGGGAAGTGCCCCTCAATTGCCTATCCACTATCAAATGGTCAGCCCTGAAAACCAATACATATAGATAGCGTTGCACAGACTGAATAGGATATATGCAAAGTCCCACACAGACAAACATATATGCATATGTTATATACACTGTACATAAGGATATATATAAATAATTTATAGAAAAAGAGGTTGTAAGTTGAGATAGAGAAAAGGGGAAGTACATGGTTTGGAATAAAGAGAGGATTATATATAATATATTTATATTTGATATAATTATACTTGATATAATTTTATTTAAAGTTCAAGACTAAAAAAATATAATGTTACTTTAAAATGAATAATTTTGGCACAAGCATGAAGAAAAATATTCAGATTCCAACACTCACACGATAAGTTTGGCATGGTCCCATGCATAATCATAATCCCATTACAAAAGGGGGGAGATACAGTAAAGCTGCCTGTACTTGCTGGCCATTAGCCTAGCCAAAATCCATAAGCTTACAGTTCAGCAAGGGGGCATGCCTGATATGACTAAGGCAGAGAATGACAGAACAGAAAAGAATACATACTAGGAAGGGAAAATGGGGAAAGGGAATGACATCTGAATTGTAAATAAAGAAAATATCCATAAAAAAAGAAAAAAAAGAAAAAATATATGAACATATAATGTTTATACAAGCACACTCACCGATACACAAATGTGCACATATATCACACAAAAATATATTCTTCAGAAGCAGACACACATCCATACACACAAAACACAGTACAAGTCCAGCTTGATCCACTGCATTAAGTCTCATAGTCTTCATCAATATGTCTGATTATTTTAGAATTATCATTTTTTTTGTAGATGGGATCCAAGCCTAAACTCTAAAAAACCCATAGGGATCAAATATCCATAATAAAATTAAACATTTAAGCCTTTTTAAAATACATAATTCAGTTTCAGTAACTGTATGCACAGAGACAGAGATTGCACAAAAACATGCATACAGAGAGACAGAGACACAGAGAGAGATACACAGAGACAGACAAAGATAAATAGAGAGACAAGGGCAGGGAAAGACAGACGGAAAATTTCTAAAGGACATACAAGTGAAAATACCATTGTGTGAAAATATATTTTGTATTCTAAAATAGAGACTTATTTATTCTTTGAAACCCCAAGGAAGGCATTTGAAAATCAGCCACGTTTTCTAAATGCCTAGCTGTCAGACTAGATAGTAATAGTCTCATAATGAAAGTTGTTTATGATTTAAGATGAGGTCTATGTATAAAAAGATGGGTCTTGAATGGTAATACAAATTAAAATAGAAGATGATTAGGTACAGAATCATAAACTCATTAAAATATGATAGATGGTAATGTACCTCATCTAAGTTACAAAATACAGACTGGACTTATAAATGTAATTCATACTTAATAATTTTATAACTGTTTAAAAATAGTTCGTACTATGTATTGTTAGCTAATATGAGAAAGAGAGCCCTTTTAATTGGACAAAAGAGGGAAATATAGTGGGCTGGCATGATGTTGCTTGAATTCTAATACTAATATTGGTTACTCAAGATCTGGTTGCCCCTAGAGATGAAAGAGTTTGCACTTAGACAAAAATGATGCAGTGTGACCTTGCCCTCAAGTTATTTCTAATGGATGAATAAAAATGCCATCAGATGGTCAGAAAAGATATAGGCAGGTTTAAGGTTTCTGGGTCCCGGGGGTGGTGGTGGTGGTGGTGGAGCTCTGTCAAAGGAGAACCTCATAGAGAAGAAGAAGGTAGAGGAGGAAGGAAAAAGCTGCATTGAGTTAGGTGGTTAGGTGAACCATAAAAATGTGGCCTTGAGAGCTGGCCTATTGGAATTAAGGGCAGCCCAGATGAAATATAGTAAGCAATAATTTGGTATTATCGATAGGAAAGTAGATACCATAGAATGTCGAAGTCGATATCTGCCCAGCTCTAGGTCTGATTGACACTTATTCTAGAGATAAAGGTTGTGTGTGATCAAGGTAGGGTGGAAACCCTGGGTTTGGATTAAATATTTTTACAACAAAAAGAAAGACAAGACAGAAAGACAGAGACAAGGACAGGTACAACAGACATGGGAAATTCCTAAAGGACTAAAGGATGTACAAATGAACATACCATTGTGAAAATATATTCTGTATTCTAAAGTAGACACTTATTGATTCCTTGAAGCCCAATGCAAGGCATATGAAAATCAGGATTTTCTAAATGCTATCTAAAGGTCTGTCTCTCCATACAGTCAAAGTAAAGAGAAGGAAATACTGGAAGCTCCAAGCTAATCATAAAGGCATTTTCTCTTTTATGATAAGATACATTTAATAAGGCATGGGGTAATTAACAAGCAAAGCACAGAGTTAAAGCTAAAATGAATAAACCAAATTCCCTACTGCTCTTTTGGGTATGTGATAAAACGGATTTCTACCATGTTGTTAGATAATGGAAATGAAGAAGTTATAAGCATGGAATTGGCCTGCTATTGATGACTGATAGGAATATAAAACAGTACATTTTAGGAGAGTAAAGGAAAAATCAAAGCATGGAGTTCTTCTCTGAGACTTTCTTTGTTAGTGATGAATGACTATTTCATTATTTTAAGTTCAGAGAAATTATTGTCTATTTCAAAAGCCTGTCTCTGACATAAGCTGAAAGGCCACTCCTCATTTGATGGGCTGTGTACATACTTAGTTGCCGCTTTGTAGTTATTGACAGAAGATTATATTCTTTGTAGTATAGCACATTTTTTTTCTGAGTTTAAAGCATTCCATCCTCCATAAAACTCCTGACTCAGGAAGGTAAACGAATTAAAATGCCTTCAGGAAGTCTCTGAAACTGACTAGATTCACTGGGCTACTCCTTGTAAAAGTAGATAGTAACAGGTGAGAGTTACTTTCAAAAAAGCAGAGCCAAGCTATAAAGAAGACTCTTCCCAGACCATCTGCCTGAAAGAAGTTTGAGCAAACTAAAGAATGTGAAAAGGATACAGACTACCACAGTTGAACTGTCTGTAGCCTATACCGTGTTCTCCAGGTTTCCCAGCTCTGTGAACTGTCACACATGCTGGGGTAGGCCTTGTTGATGAAGTTATCTTTGAGACATTTCAGCTCCTGTAAGTAGCCCTTCACCCATATTTTTGAGAATAATTTCAATAAATCTCACTCATTCATCAAGTTGGACTTAATAATATCCATACTTTGGTCTGCCAAGGGTTCCCTGAAAATAGCCAAAACTCTGACAGGGCTCTGGCAGGACTTGCCTTTTCCTCCCATTCTCTCTGCCTTGCTAAAACCCTTTAAATTACATTCCTAAAACTAGCTAATAAGATCTACTCCCTCTTTTGCCCACTATTTCTAAGTGACTTACCAAGAGCCAGCTATGAAAATATTGAACTCCATCAATCAATAACCCTCTTTGACTAATGCTATTAACATGCCCAAATAAAATTCAACACCTCATACTACCACAAAGCTTCTACTTTTACCTT